AGGGGGCAAGCAGCCCCTTTTATAGTGGGCAAGCAGCCCCTTTTATAGTGGGCAGGCCTGCCTGGCTGTTGCCAAGTAACTGTGGGGAGGAGCATGCCTGGGTGTTGCCAGGTAACTGTGGAGGCGGAGTTTAGACAGAATACTAACAACTATTCCAATAAAGTCCTTCCTTCCCAGTAATCTTTCTCAATATCCCTCTTGAATACAACCTCCAGAACCTATGAGGACTTCCAACCGTTATTTTGATAAATAAATATATTGTGACCCCCCCAAAAAAAACCCCTTCCTTCTTCTATATACTTATGCTTATGTCTACAGGCAAGTGCTGTCCCAGCTTTGGTCAGAGATTTTCTTTTCTTCTCTCCTCTATAACCTCTCTATTTGCCTCCATTTCTTAACCCTTCATTCATGCTGTGGCCCAGCCAGATCCGAACTCACTTCTTTAGTCCTTTTCCACTTCTTTGAGGCTTTGTAACTCTTATTTCCATACCAATCTCCACAGTCAGTTGTCTGTCTAACCCCCACCCCCACGACCCATGCCAGCCCTGGACTTTCTAACAATTTCTGACTAAAGATTGCCTTGGCATTAGGCTAGGAGGAGGTCCAGTGATAAAGTCCTTGTGGATGCAGTCAGGATGTCGGTTACATTGGTATTCTTTCAGAATACACACAACTGTCCCCTGTTCAATCAACAGGGCCAGATATATGAAGAAAGTGAAGCTGAGTGCTAGGTTTAACGTTGCTGGAAGACACTATACCGGCTGATGAGAGACAAAAGTCATCGATGCTCTTTCCCAGTGGTGGACCCCGAATGTTACAATACTGAGTGCCAGGCAATCTGTGCCCATCACTTGTGAAATAGTGTCATGGATGTTCTGGAGAGAATTAACCACTTCCAGATTAGATTTGAGACCTGCTTTCACAGGACAGTATTCATATTTATTACTATAAATTTTGTCAAAAGGCCATGGCTAGCAAAGTCATAGGCTTTAGGGGTGGGAGCCTACCACTTTTATCCTGTTAATTGGATATGTTGTCACACCATCATCTGACTACATTTATACCTGTAGGTTGCTACTGATCTCAACTTGGGCCAGAGAAATGTCTTCTTGTAGCAGGCCATGGTTAATACAGAAACTTATAACTGATCAAAGTGGTGAGAAACGTGACTGCTGAATACTTGGTCATAAGTGGGGCACATACATATATCACCCCTTCAGGCTCAGGGACCATTATGAAAGAGGTTTGGGGAAAGCATGAGAGGCAGAGGATTGGAAAGAGGGCTGTAAAATTATCTTCTGGGCAGGACACGGCCATTGTGCTCATAAACTCACCACACCTGTGGTTATCTACACACGACCTGAACAAGATTGGATTCTTCGACATTCTGTCCTGGATTGTTGAGGAGCTCATGAGGCCCCACCCCTAGATGAAGTGGCAGTTAGTGACTAGGGGGAGGGAAGTGGTTTTTTTCTTAGGGTAATTTTTCAGTTTTTCTTCAGTTAATGGCTGTTGGAGAAGGGAAGTAATTTTTCTTTAGACAGTTAACAGCTGTTGGAGGAAGAGGAGGAAGAGGAGGAGGAGGAGGAGGAGGAGGAGGAGGAGGAGGAGGAGGAGGAGGGGAGGAGGAGGGTATATTTTTCTTTACTGGTAAATGTCCCACGATGCAATCATTAGCCCTACAGTCATGCACATACAAACCAAATAAGAGTACCAGAGAGTGTGGGAGGGAGGGAAAGAGGAAGAAATGGGGATGAATATGATCAAAATACACTATATATGCATGAAATTGTCAAAGAATAAATTAAAAAAAAAGAAATGTCACTGGAGATATGATTTGAAGTGAATCTTGGGACCTACCCCTTTGTTTCTCTTGTTGGCTAATTCATGCCAGCACAAATAAAAGTCTTTCCTGCTGTGGGTACATACTCCCTTTGTAAACTTTGTATACTTTATAAACTCTGTAAACCCTCACAGCACACAAGTGACCAGGCCCTGCCCCCAGACTTCCCTAATGGTTCCAATGGCCTTCCCTAACAGCTGTAA